TGGAAATAAAATCAGAGATGTAGGAAATGCCACAGAGAATCACATGGGTTTCCAGAAAATGAAGGAAGACAGTTTCCGTGCATCTGCCTTTCTCTCTCCCTTCTCCCAGCCTTTCACCTCTCTTGATCTCCCTCCTCCAATAGGTCAGTTCCCAGAGCATTAGGCAGTCTTCTATCCACTCCTGCAGCAGACACATTCAAACCAGGAGCTCTGCTCACCCTCTGGCACCTCACACTGCAGAAGCAGAGAAGGGGGGAAGTTGAGGTGAGCCCTGCAGCCCAGAGATTGGGCTGGGGAGGAGGAAGGCTAGGATCAATCGCACCAAAGTTGCTTTTGCTGATCCTGCACCACTTAGGGATGGTGTTTAAGGGCAGCTGTTGCCGTGAGGGTTGGTGTAGCTCCACACTGCTATGGAGATTTCTTGGTAGAAGCAGTTGGACCACAGGGCTGGGCCCACTGATGGCTGTGGCTGGATTGTTGGGCAGTTTCTGTATCTGATATCCTCTTTCATCACACTGTTTACCACTGATGCAGTGGGACACTGACTGCCCTGGGCAACTGTATGTTTTTTCTATGCGTAGGTCTGGTCCTGGGAAGTGCTGTCAACTTCCAGCCTTTGAGTCATCCCAATTATGCATCTTGCAATGGGTGGACATATCTGTCCGGTCCTGGGTTCTCATTCTCCAGTTGAACTCTCAACTATGTGACTACTTGTGCACCCCAAGCAAAATCTCATGCTCCCACTCTGAAGATCTCCTGAGCTTGTAGAGGAGGCAACAGAGGAGCAGCGGGCTCTCTGGTGCTCCCTCAGATTGTGAACCTCTAGAACAAAATGAGGAAGTCTGGGTTTTGAGGTTTTGGGGTTTGAGTCCTTTTTGTTTTTAAACTGAAATATACTGCAGCAGAACAATCCAAACAGCCCACAAGGACAGTGATATAACCACAGATAAAGGAACTCTCCCAGCCAGGGGATTTCTATGCTTGTTTATATTTAGGGCAAGTCTTGCCCTGAGGCTTTCAAAAATGCAAACAAATTAAAAAAAATTAAAATATCCTAAGCAAAGCTGGTGCTATTCATGGTGCTACCATAGTCTGTTATCTTCTAGAGCACAGAAAACTGGTGTTGAATGGCCTCACCAGGAGCTGGAAGAGAAATGAGAAGAAGAGAAAGAGAAAGGAGAAAGATAAGAGGAAGCTGGGCAGAGACTCTAGGGCTGTATTCCAACTTTTGTCTCTACAAGTAGAGTCATTGCAGGAATGTGATTTAAACCAACCTTTCTTCGAAGTCCCAAAACCTTGAAGAATAATTTGTTTCTCCAACAACAATAGGAGAGTTCTCAAGAACTGCCTGGGTATTTTGCTACTCCTGGTGTCTTACAGCTTTTGTGTAGACCACAAAAATACAAATGGGTGACAAGCCCTTCTCTTTCATCCTTGCAGCAAGAACTTTCTAGTTTTTAGCAAATGTCTTTCTCCACAGAACTGAGGAACAGCCATAAGAGACCAGAATACAGGACTTCTATCTGTGTGAATATCCAAACTGCTTGGTTAGAAGGTTATGTAGCCTGACCATCCTTTCCCAGTGAGTGTTGTATTGGGCCTTTGGCCAGGGATGGGAAAGGGATACCCTCACTCAACTCCTGCTCCCACCTCCACTACCTCATGGATAGATTTTCTGGTGTTCTCAGCAGGGTGCTAGTAACAAATTCCAGTTTTCTGAATGGCTTTGCAGCCTTAGCAGCTTTTGTAGTGAAAGCAGTGGGGGTGTACGGGGTGCACCAATGGCCATGATCAGTTGTGCGTGAAGCAGGGGGGAGAGGATCCGGTAGACCCTATCTGTTTCATTCCCCGTAGATTAAAGTAAGTTTTGACTTTAGGTGGCCACTTCTGATCAAGGTGGTCTTGTCTTTTGGCAGTTACAATGTAAACGGAAGTCTCCATTCTCTGTGTTTAAAAAGCTATTAAAAACAACTTGTTGATGAAAGTTTATTTAGAAACACAGAATCACAGAAAAAAAATTATTTCAAAGGTGACCTTTTGGAGGTCATGTGTTCTAGTGGAATTTTATCACCCTGAAAGAACTTTATCATGAAGGAATTTCACTCACCTGAGATGACTTTAACCATCCTGAGACCTGCTGGAAGGGCAAAATGGCAGGGTACAAGCAATCCAGGAGAGTTATAGGGATCACCAGGAACAATATTTTGGTACAAATGCTGGACAAGACAACTACAGGAGGTGCTCAGCCTGATCTCATCAAAGAACTGACCATGGATGTGACAGTAATTGACAGTCTTGAGTGCAAGGATCATGATGTGGTAGACTTTAAGCTCCTGAGAGAAAGGAGGAAGACAAATTCAACAAGGGCAAGTGTTGAGTGCTGCATTGGGGCGGCCGAACCTCATGCACCAGTACAGGCTGGGGGCTGACCTGCTGGAAAGCAGCTCTGCCGAGAGGGACCTGGGAGTCCTGGTGAACAACAAGCTGACCATGAGCCAGCAGTGTGCCCGTGTTGCCAAGAAGGCCAATGGCATCCTGGAGTGCATTAAGAGGAGTGTGGCCAGCAGGTCGAGGGAGGTTATCCTCCCCCTCTACTCTGCCCTGGTGAGAGCCCACCTGGAGTACTGTGTCCAGTTCTGGGCTCCCCAGTTCAAGAAAGATGAGGAACTCCTAGAAAGAGTTCAGAGGAGATCAACAAGGGTGATAAAGGGCCTGGAGCATCTCGCCTATGAGGAAAAGCTGAGAGAGTTGGGCTTGTTTAGCCTGAAGAAGAGAAGACTGAGAGGGGACCTCATCAACACATACAAATATCTTAAGGGCGGAAGTCACGAGGACAGAGCCAGACTCTTTGCAGTGGTGTCCAGCGACAGGACAAGGGGCAATGGGTGCAAACTGAAACATAAGAAATTTCAGTTGAATATGAGGAAAAACTTCTTACTCTAAGGGTGACGGAGCACTGGAATGGGCTGCCCAGGGAGGTTGTGGAGTCTCCTTCTCTGGAGATATTCAAAGCCCGCCTGGATGAAGTCCTGTGTAACATGCTCTAGGTGAGCCTGCTTTAGCAGGGGGGTTGGACTAGATGATCTCCCGAGGTCCCTTCCAACCCTTGCCATTCTGTGATTCTGTGAAATAGCATACTATATACGTTGGATATCATGGCGGCAGACAACAGCTTGCTCAGGGCAGGATAGCATCTGAGATCCAGTTCTCTGCCCACCTCTCAGCCCTTAACTGGGATACTGGCAGTAATTCAGAGACTCCCACTATGGATGTACTGGACTGAAGTCTCCTGCCAGCAGCTTGGGTTTAGCCTCCAGCACATCCTTCCTGTTCTTTCCTGTGTCTTTGATACCATGACATGGACCACGGCTCATCCCGGCAGTCCCAAATAACCTCTCTAAACAGCTCATGACATCTTCCACCATTCCGCTGGCACACAATCTACTATGACAGAGGTGTCCTTGCATACCTCACAGATCCAGCTCTCTGTGCTCTCTGCCACCACTTGCTTGCTTCTGACCTTGTGGATCACCTCTGCTGCAGGACCTCCTTTGGTGTCTATCTGATGGAGCTCAGTTCTCAGTGTGGGATGGCTCAAGGCTTCTCTCCAGTGAGGGCTCTGCTCCAGACAGAAGTGAAACTCCCACAGGAAGCTCTGGTTTGATGAGGACAACTAACTCCAGCTTCTCAATTTAAGGGACACCGTACTGAGTTTTTTTCACCTGGCACAGTCTTTTCTTAACCTCAGCAGCATTTCTTCTGTTTTGCAGGAATTCAGTTTACTAGAACATGCAAATCACTCAAGACTAGAGTCACTGAGTCATTGGAGCCTGGCTTATGGTTTTTTTCTTTGGTTCTTTTTTTTTCTGGCAGAAATGCAGAAACAAAAATCAGGCCGATTTCAGAAGAAGTCATTTTAGCAGCCTAAGGCAAAGTTTTGGAAAAGCCAGTCAGGAACAGAATTGCGTAGTAGGCATGGGTGATCTTTAGTGTTTATTCTGTAGAGACACTCTCCAAGTAATGCTGATGTGAGGGAAGAACAGATCATTTATAATGGCAGTATTAGTGAACTTAGTTGTTGTAACCATGTAGCTCTGTAATATGGTATTGCTATTGCTAGTGTCGTGGTTTAACCCCAGCTGGCAACTCAGTCCCACCCAGCCGCTCGCTCACTCCCCCCACAATGGGATGAGAGAGAGAATCAGAAGAGTAAAAGTGAGAAAACTTGTGGGTTGAGATAAAGGTGGTTTGATAGGGAGAGCAAAAGCCACGCACACAAGCAAAGCAAAACAAGGAATTCATTCACCACTTCCCATGGGCAGGCAGTTGCTCAGCCGTCTCCAGGAAGGCAGGGCTCCATCATGTGTGATGGTGACTTGGTAAGACAAACGCCGTAACTCTGAATGTCCTCCCCTTTCCTTCTTCTTCCCCCAGCTTTATGTGCTGAGCATGATGTCATATGGTATGGAATAGCACTTTGGCCAGTTGGGGTCAGCTGTCCTGGCTGTGTCTCCTCCCAGCTTCTTGTGCACCTGGCAGAGCTGAGAGCTGAGAAGTCCTTAGCCAGTCTAAGCACTACCCAGCCACAACTAAAACATTCTTCTAGTACTAAATGCAAAACACAGCACTATGCCAGCTACTAGGAAGAAAATTAACTCTGTCCCAGCTGAAGCCAGGACACTGGTAACAGGCTATAAGCTTTGTAATGAGTTTTCAGGGCTGAAATTTGTCAGGCTTGCTCTGCCTGAACTTTTCTTGACCTGTTCGTAGATTTTTTTGACCTGGTGTCCCTTGCTAATTTATTTTTCTTTTGTTTATCTTTGTATAGTACCACTAAGGTTTTACAACCCTAATGCACCGATGCAGTGTAGGTGTAGATGATGACAGAGGCCTTTAGAAGTGGAAACACAAGGATATGGTGCAGAGTTGTAGAGACATGGGGCTGGATAAGAGGTAGGACACAGGCATGGCACTGGGGACTTCATGGCTATAAATGGCCTCTAACCTCTGGTTTTCCCCATCTAAATAATCTATCCACAGAAGCACAATATGTGATTAGTCTCCAAATTCATGGTTTCGTCTCATATCTCCTTACTAATTGAAGGATTCGGGATGTGCTGCTTCTGTTTTGTCCGTGTGTTAAAAAACCACAAAACCAACCTGTATCATTTGCATCTAGCAAGTCGCAAGCTTCTGCTGGAGAGTTCATAGGTTCAATTTCCAACATTTCCCACCTCACACACATACACAGTTATGTGCTACCTGTTAGCAGCCACATTTTAAGCTATTTTTTTCATCTACCACAGATATGAAGTGATGAAAAGTGGAAGTAAGTTTTTGGTTTTGTAAATGGCTGTGAGAACATCTAAGGCATGCTGTGCTAAAGGATGTAGCAACATAGTTCGAAAGCAATAAATAGACTTATGAGAAAATGTCTCCTGAACGCTTTAACAATACTAATTTTGTGTAAGTAAACGATAATTTTAAGAGGTTTAATCTTGGCCAGTTTTCAGTGGGTTTTCATACTGATGAAAAATTTTTGTTCCTGATCACAGTCTCACTATAGCTGTGCCTTTTCCAAGACACTGGACCTCTGGAGATCCTGTATAAACCCCTGAAGTTAAGTTGTCCTTATTTTATTCTTTCTTTTGCATGGTGTTGAAAAAGTAGTACAATAACTTCCAAAGCATTACTTAAATATTTTTGCTGAAACTTTGCAAGAATAATAATCATAAGAAGAAACAAAACCAGTCCAAACAACTCAAATTATTTATGGAAAATGCAATCAAATACAAAGAGGCTTTCGAAGATAGGCTCTTGGGGAATTGTCTCTGTAGGCAATGCTATTTTCTCTGCTTGCAAGAGGGAGAGAATATGAAAAACCTGTAAATTACTGCCAACAAAATACACATTCGAAAAAATTCAAGTTGCTTTTTTCTCTTGCATGCCATTATGCCACTTCTTCAATTGTTATTATTTCTTCAGTTTCATGTGTTATTAATTGTTTCTTATATTCTGTCTATTAAAGGAAGAATAAAACATTTCATTAGTGTTTCATGCATGAGATTAGCCAGAGAGTTGTTATTTATTATATAGAAGCTGTAGTGGGACTCTGTCAATGAGAGGACTGAAGTAGGCATGTCTAGGTCGCTGCTTCATGATGAGCTCCCCAAAGAGGAACAAAAGATTTTTCAGCACAAAAGCCAGAAATCTCATCTTTTTAAACATAGGAAAGTTAACATGACGAAGGAACAGAAAGTAAAAGGATTTATAAAGGCTCACCAGTGATCCAGTGAGTCTTTGCAGACACATTTTTGCTTCCAGACCTGACTGTAGCCAGCTTAAAGGCTTTCAGCAAATTGCAGCAGACATTGCACATGCTCTCTAAATAAGCAGTTCCTCTTTGTTACTTGCAATGTCTGTCTGTCTGTTCCTTCTCATGAGTCTCTCCAGCTCTCCACATAAAATAGAACCTCTCAGCTCTCTGCTATATTTGCTTGCTTACCAGACCCTAGAAAATTTTCCTCCTTCAGCATCATTGTCAAATACTAATGGGTCTCAACATCTGCAGTGGCACAACTATTTTTAGCCAGCAGTAGATTTCTTTGTCCCTTCTCTCCCCATAGCTGACCAAGAGTGCGATTCTGTATATTACTGGGCTGAGAAACTCAGGTTCAGCACTGTTCTAGTGATAGCATATGGCTTATAGGGAGAGCAGGGTGAAATTGTGTATTTTCTACGCTGCTCCAGATAGACGGAGGACAAGCGTTTCAGAACGGAAAAGGAAAAACAGAAGAATTATTGCATATGGACCTTCTCTTTCAATACCCTCAAAAAAAGAAAAAGAAAGAAAATTTATCCTTGCTTCTGTGCAACTTTCTGACACTTAGATCACACCTTTAAGACCGCAGTGGATCCTTGTTTACAACAAATTTCAGGCAAATGGAAAGAAAACATACCTGGAAATCCATTGGAGATATCTCATGGAATGGGTCTCTTGGCTGTGGTATTGTAGCAGATGTTTTTTTCAGATAAATGCTTCTACAATGGCAAAAAGGGTTGGTGAAGAAAAGGCAGTATGCAAACATATGAACACGTATTATAGAATAATGCTCCTGAGGTGTTATTTTATTCCTCTAGTGAAAGAGTTAATGAAAAATTACATAGCCTGAATACAATGATATCATGTTATTGTTCAGAATTTGGATGATAATAACTTATTTTATGACTTATTAAAAAATCATAAGAAGTTGCTTTTTTAAGTATCTGAAAGAGAAATATCCTCAAAACAAGGAGACAATTTCATGTACCAGCCACCTACATTGCAGTGTCTGATGGCAGGGAAGAGGCACTGGTATCAGGCCTTATCTCAGTATTGGAAAGCATTGTGTTATGTTGATCAAGTGGGTAATAAGGTTGGGAATCAAAAATATAGAGCTCACTTGAGGAACACCCAGCAGGTCATGATTCCCGCTATAGTTCAGTGTTGATTACTCCACCCCCCACCCCTTTAAAAGGAGGCCAGAAATTTTCTGCTGGGGAAAGAGGTGTTATTTCAATTGCAGAAGAAAAGCTTTGCACATAAAATAAGACTTACACTCTGCAGAGAAAAAATGCAAGACTGCAAGCTGCCAGTGATGGTATCAGAAATAATGTATATGATGAAATGGATGCAAGCTGTTCTCCTCCTGAAAGACAAGCAATCATCAAAATGTTATCTAGTATCACAGAACAGGAATGATTGCACAACTATGTGTAATCTGCTTGGCATGACCGGGTCAAGCACCAGCATGAAGTGGCTTCTTTCTCATTGCTCTGTAACATGCGAAGGAACAGGATGGATGATGGTATGTGGACTGTCTACAGTAACTTGAGACCTTACCAAGCATTTCATGAGGAACTCAGACCTAGAGAGTACGTCAAAATCCAAGGTGGCAGAGAGAGTAACGGGGGAAAAGAGAAGTTTATAAAGCCGAAAGTAGAACTGAAAGAAGGAAAAGAGCTGGCAACAGACCTCAAAAAGGTCATATTTTTTCACTGTCTCCTTGCAAGAAGCACCCACTGTCACAGCAGAATGCTTGGAGACCTTCCTCATATTAAAAGATATGCTAATTCTTTGTTTCTTTTCATCCTAACAAATCAATGTGCAAATATCAACGTGTTTCCATCTGTAAGTATGAAGTAATAAATGAGGCTGACAAGTAATAACTGAGGGAAAACTAAGTCAAGGAGGTGATTTTCATTCTTACCAAACTCTACGGGTGTACTCCACTCTCCCCAGCTTGTGCTCACTAAACAACCATTGTCAGTTGCTCTGATTTTGACGCTGTACCTTTTTCCTGCACTGAAGCTCCCAAATGTGTAGGAGTTGCCTGTGATGTTTCTTTCCTAAATACAAAACAGCTAGACTGAGAACTTTTTATTCACTAGATGAACAGATGTTAAGAATGCATCAGGTTCATTTAATGATGCGAACAATTACAAATGAAACTTTACACATACTTCTGTGAACAGACTAAAGTGCAATAATAAATAGAAAAATATCCCTTAGTAAATTAGTGCGATCCGTCCTAAATCTTTTTGTTTGAACTTTTTTGTTATTGGTGATATGAACACGAAATTTGCAGTATTCTTACCTGGCTTCTTAGCCTCTGCTAAACAATGGAACTTTGGGGAAAAAAATAATCAATAGTTTATTTTCAGTCTGTAAAGGTTTTATTTTACTATAAAGTAATTCTTTAAAGAGCCACCATTCCCTTATCATGGATGTTTTCAAAACTGAAGCAGAGTTTAATAACCAGATTATACAGAAGGCAAAAAATTGACAAATATAGAAATCCTTCTCAGAAGAGTATTGATCCTTCTGGAAAACCTGGTTTTTTTCTTTCTTCTTTCTTTATACTGGCTTAATCTTTAGGTGATATTTTCTTGCCTGTTGCATCTCAACCCCTTCCAGAGACCATTAATAAAGAAAAAAATTCTCAACATTTTGTGTGTCTAAGTGTAATGTGGAATTATGACCCATATTTATATATACATATGAATTGGTAGGAAGTACACATATAAATGAATTGTTAAGAAGTATAAAATACTGTAAAATGGAAGATCTTGTGACATGCATAGAAGTAGTATAAAGTTCCACATGTGCAGGTATTTTTTGTACCTAGTCTTACAAATAACAGTTTAAAACTTTGAGTTTAGGAAAATTGTCAAGAAAGAGCATACATAGTATACTGAAACTGGTAGTGTGAAACCAAAACAATTTGCTTGGAGGATGTTCTGATATAGGTGACATTTCAACCCAGCATAAACATTAAATTGTTATGGTAATAAAGACTTACTTACTATTTTAGATGCGGGTTTGATGCTTTTCTCGGGATCAGCCTAGCAACAAGAGAAAAACTCAATTTTTATGATTGTTCTTTTTATTGCTACAAAATAAGGGGTCCTGCCTTATCAATGTTTGATATTTAGGAAAAAAGGGGTACATTTAGCATTTTAAATGTGTACTTTTAAAGACTATGACGTATAAGCTGTTTGTATTGGGTTTGTGTGGCAATGTTTTGGTGAGGGGGCGCTACAGGGTGGCTTCTGTGAGAAGCTGCTGGAAGCTTCCCCTATGTCTGGTAGAGGCAATGTCAGTTGGCTCCAAGATGGACCCCAGGACATGGGGAAATGGCCTCAAGTTGTGCCAGGGGAGGTTTAGGTTGGGCATCAGGAAAATTTTTTTCACTGAAAGGGTTGTTAAGCGTTGGTACAGGCTGCCCAGGGAAGTGGTCGAGTCCCCATCCCTGGAGGTATTTAAGAGAGGGACAGACGAGGTGCTTAGGGACATGGTTTAGTGGTGGGATGGCAGGGTTAGGTTAACAGTTGGACTTGATGATCTTAAAGGTCTTTTCCAACCTAAACGGTTCTACGATTCTATGATTCTATGATTCTAATTTAGTAATACCATAAACCTGACTGAGCAGTAATGATGACTACAAGAAGTAGGAACAAATGCAAAGTGAGTTTGTGAAAGACATGATAAAAAATGACTGATGGGATAGCAGACCATAGAGGGGAAAACCATAAAAGGGAATGTCCTGACCTAACTTCAAAAAAACCCAGCAGTAGGACCGAAAGACTACACTGGGACCCAAACTGCCTTACAGGGACACACAAAATTGGTTGTATCCAATTTAACAGTACCTTTGCTCTTTCTTTAGTATATTTAGAGTTCATTTGATGTATCCTGTAACTGTTTGTAAAAAAGTAATAAGGTAATATGGTCCACTCCCTGACATGTGCTATAATAGCTGTTCAACCTAAATGTGGGGAATCCCTTGCCCAGTTTCTTTAAGGACCAGCTGTACAGTAGACTGAAAGCATTACCTCAGTTTGCTGCCTCTATCTGTGGCAGCAATTCTCAGCTGATGCACAAGAGGGGCACTACTTATCAAAAAGGAGAGATTAGTTAAGTAGGGAAAAAGAGCGGGTTATCGGTTGTATGGTAGTATGTGTGGAAATGCAAGCATACAAAATACTATTAAGAGTCATAATTATTCTTACCTTGTTTTCTATGGCAATTTGATATTTGAAACAAGCACGTTTTTTCACGTGACTTGTGCGAGGTGGTTGCCACTGAATTTCACAACCATGAGAAGCTTCTGTACAGTTCACAGTGACATTTAATGGAGGTGTGAGTTTTTCTACAGTAATATAAGCAGAAATACTATTGATTAATAATCAGCTCTCTTCACTCTGCCTTTTATAATATTGATAGATGTTCAAGCAACTGGTCTAAAAAGATGTAATATAGCTTTACCAGAATAATTATATTCACCCCATATTCTGAAGCAGGACTCCCTGATTTAATACTCCAGTTGAGAAGCCTGGAGTATCAGCAGCAACAGTAGGTAAAATTAAAAAACACAAACGATTTGTTAGATTTTATTGAATTCATCATATAATCTGTGCAGGTTTTCTTTTTTCATATACTCTGTTCATATTAAACAAAAGTAATTTTTTTTTTATTAGCAACATTCTTCCATTTAAAAACTAAAAAGTTTTTGCTCACAGTGTTAAGGTAATTGGTTCTTTTGTATTATGTGAATTAACATAATTATGAGATAATGGTATAAAATGAACATCCAGGTAGTCCTGCTCAGGCATCCTTAGCTACTTAATCCCAAAAGATGACACCTTTCTTTCAGAGAATAAATATTTGACTGAAATGTTCACAGTTCTCCAACCTGTGACTTTGTATTGTCTCTGCATTCATTTGGTTTTGATCATTCTTATACTTTGGACTCTTCAGCCATCAAGGCTGGGGAAAAGGGGAAAAAAAAAAAGGTGTTCTGAGGAAGAGTATTTTAAAAATGTATGTTTTTTCCAGGGATGAATTCTTCATTTCCTTAGCATAAAACTGGAAATAAAATTGAAAAAAAAAATCCTTACCAATTGTGTACAGAATAATCATCTCCGTATACGGCTGAATGTTTTGTCCATTTCTAGACTCATTTACCAGGAAATAAGCTCTCTTATTCTCTATTGTCACATTTTGGAATTTACATCCTGTGTGCCTTCCACAATTATCTTTGACGTAATTCTGGCATCCTGTGAAATCTTCTTTCCTTTACATGACATATTGCATCAGTTAAACATTGACAATGTCACATGTCAGACCAGAAATCAAAATTTTCTAGATTCAAGCAGACCTACTTACCTTGAGGTCTTCCAGTACAGGAAATATTGGGTATCTCTTGAAGCAGTCCTGTCCACGTGCCAAGTGCAGTTCATGAAGGAAACGTTAAAAATGACACAGACAAAATTTTCAATGGCTGTCCCATTCATGCCTGCAAACACAGGAAAGATATCCCATGTCCACTCTGCGGAAAGACTGTGTAACTGCTCAAGTCATGCAGCGATTTCTGCTCGGGAATGGCTGGCCATTGGTCAGCGGGTGATGAGCAATTGCATTGTAGATCACTTGTTTTGTATATTCTCTGCTGTTTTATTAAACTGTCTTTATCTCAACCCACAGGTTTTACTTTTTTTTTTTTCCCAATTCTCTCCCCCATCCCACTGTGGAGGGAGTGAATGAATGGCTGTGTGGTGTTTAGCTGCCTGCCCAGTTAAACCACAACACTCATAGATCACTGTGCTTAGCAGTCTGAGAAAGCCTGATCCCCCATTAATTTAATTCCTTTTGAATATTTTTTTTTTGGCTTCTAACACATCCCTTGCCAATAGGATGGGCAATAGGAGAATTCAAAAGCTCAGTTTTCATGTGGCTCCTTTCCTTTCTTCAGCTGTAATGTGAGAAAAGGCAATTCTTCTCCAGAAAAGTAGGAGCTCAAAACCACTCTTGTACCTGATACTTTTTCATGGCTTGCTCCAGGCAGCTACTGTGCTGTATGGAGGCTTTTGGGACTACTCTACAGAATGAAGTTTCTTTCATTCGGGTGTACTACAAATACACATAATAAAGGTGTCTAGGATCACAGTTTCCAGACGGAAAGGCTGTTACCTAGGAGACCTGACTTAATATGATGTTGTGTAGCTTGGCTACAAATAGAGCTGGAAGAATTAAACCCCATTCCTCAGAGCACCTTGGTAGAAGCATTTGTTTCACGCTCATCACTCTGAGAGTCAGCATGTGCTAGGAGAAATGTCATCAGGCACAGGACCTTGCAAAGGAGCAACCATCTGATTCCTTTGGAAATGAAGAGGCATTGTTCAAGAGACAACAAAGTTGTCAGAGTACTCCCGGATTTCTGGAAAACTTCCTCTCGTCCAAGAAGAAGGTTGAAACTGTTTCAAAAGCTTGGCTCAGCAGCATTTCTTTTGACAGCAGTGCTGACCTAAGTATCCCCCATCCTTCCCCATCTTCCATGGCTCCTTCCTGATTCCATCCTGCCTCCCTGGCTGGGCTAGTACCATTCCTTGTGGGGCCTCATAGTAGGTAGTTCTGAAGAAGTAATCATCACTAAAACTAATAATGCTCCTCCCACCCCAGCATTTTTTGTTTCTTCTTGCTTTTTCATCTGGCTTAGCATTCTTTACCACAAACAGTGGAACAAGCTCATCTGAGATGACAGTGTGGGTTAGCAACAAAGACCCAGAGCAGAGATGCCTAAGACATTTTTGCTGCAGCAAGAAGTGTTGACCCCTATCCAGTCACTAGAGGCATCTAAGCTCTTAGCATAGAGTTGCTTATATCCAACTTACGTGGAAGTTTATATATAGATACGTATAACAAACCACTCCTGAGAGTCCAGTGATTATGGTACTGCCCTGAGGTGATGGACAGCTTTGCTCAGTTCTCTGGTCTGCCACAGGTTCACTTTATGACCCAGGGTCATTCAAATCTGTGTACTTCACTTCTTTATTTAGAAAAGAAATAGAGAAGTTTTCTTCCCGTCATGAAATTGTGAAGAAATGCAGCAGTGTGAAGTACGATCACAGGTGCTGTGCAAGGGTCTTAGGGAGGTGGGCCTTTGGCAATGCAGCAAATCAAAAGAAAGAAGGGTTAATCTGATTTCAAATCAGGTCACAGCCTGGTTCATGCATCACCCAACAAGCAATTGAGTTGACTGGCGACATAAGAAATAGGGTGAAAGGAACTCCTAAAATGACACTGTGGTCAAGGAAAAAGCAAATGAAACCACATCCTTAGCCTCTTCAGTGATGGGCTCAGATTTTTATACCGAAGAGAAGCATCCAGAGATATGCTCAGATGTTCTTTAATTAGCCTAAATTCTACAGCCAGAACATTACTCTGCCTACAAAACAGCCATGATCAGCTGCGCAGTGTCACATTCATACCAACATCAACCACATACTGGGAAGATCGCTCAGATATGTGTGGATAGGTCTATTCCCTTTGCTGACAGGACTTTTTTTTCCCAGGTTTTCAGGGGATTTATTTTTCATCTTTTTTATTCACTTTTCTGTGGATATGCCAAAGAAAATCTAGCAGAGTAGACAAGTATGACAACCCTTCCTTTAAGGTTTACTTTTGAGCCTACTGTATTCTCTCATAGTGTAAATGTTACAATTTTACTTTTATTTGTAGCAACAGCTGGAACGGAGCTAAGTCTTTATGAGACATTTCTCCCATTATCTCCCATTATTTCAGTGAAACACTGACATTTTTTTCTTTCCAGTTTATACTTGAGGACTAGATAAATTGTTCTAGTTGCTTCTTGCTGAACAACTTGTCATGGTTTAAACACAACTTGCAACTAAGCACCATGCAGCCGCTCACTCACTCTGTTGGGATGGGGGAGAGAATCATAAGAGCAAAAGTGAGAAAACTCATGGGCTGAGACAAAGGCAGTTTAACAGGGAAAGCCAAAGCCACACACACAAGCAAAACAAAGCAAAGCAAGGAATTCATTCGACATCTGAAACAGCATCTTAATACTTTTTCCAACCTGCCTCAGACATAAACTGGTCCAAAATATTATCTGGAAGTAGGAAAGGTAAATGAAGCATGAAGAATGCATATGAAAGAAAGAAAAAAACAAAACAACATAGCAATGGACACTCAAAATTGTCAATATGACAGTAAAAAATCCTATACTTTCACAGAATACCAAGATAGTTCATTTGATTCATCAAAGCAGGTCAGAATTGATCTGTTTAGCCTCTTCTGTATAAATCTGTTCGCTTTAGTTGCTTTAGTACTCTATGAGTCTTGCTGTTTATCTACTGAATTCATTGAGTCTAAGGTCAAAGAATTTACTATGCTTGCCATTATGCATGACAGTTACTTGTTTTTCAGAATAAGCCATAAGTATTCAAGCAGACTGTAAACCACAGTGCATTATACACAATGTCTGGGAGAGCAGTCGATCCTATGAAAGACAACAGAGGCTTGTGTAGGCTTATATAATTTCTTTCAGTCACAGTATCAACCCAGAGTAAATCATATTAAGATTTAGTTAATATAAACCAAATTGTTTTCATTTAGCGTAACTACCAGAAATATTTTGCTTCAAGGTGATACAAGCTAAATCATAATAATTTGTTATGTTTTAATGCCAGCTGACAACTAAACACCACACAGCTCCTTGCTCACTCCCCCCCTAGTGCGATGGGGGAGAGAATCAGAGGAGTAAAAGTGAGAAAACTCATAAAAGCAGTTTAGTAAGTGAAGCAAAAGCCACACCCCCAAACAAAGAAAAACAAGGAATTCATTCACTACTTCCCATTAGCAGGCAGTGTTCAACCATCTCCAGGAAAGCAGGGCTCCACCAGGGTTACTTGGGAAGACAAACGCCAGCACTCCAAACATCCCCCCGCTTCCTTCTTCTTCCCCCAGCTTTATGTGCAGAACATGACATTACATGTTCTGGAATAGCCCTTTGGTCTGTTGGGGTCACCTGTCCCAACTGTGCCCCCTCCCAGCCTCTTGTGCACCCTGGGCCTTCTCGCTGGTGGGGTGGGATGAGGAGCAGAAAAGGCCTTGACTCTGTGTAAGCCCTGCTCAGCAGTAATGAAAACATCCCTGTGTCATCAACACTGTTTCCAACACAAATCCAAAACACAGCCCCATGCTAGCTACTGTAAAGAAAATTAACTCTGTCCCAGCCAAAATCAGCACACCACTCCTCTTTTAATAACCCCATATTTGTCACTTCTTTATTATTATTTCATTAAACAAGAGGGAAGATACTACTCTCATGATCCTTTTCAGTGAGCTGTGATGCAAAGAACAGTTTCTCTGTAGTGCACTCTTCCTTCTGAACTGCCTCCTATATTCTTTGATAATAGTAAAATACATATGCAAGTATACTACCAGCCTCACAAGCATCCTTTGTTTCAGAGGTGAATAACTCATATTCCCTATTTTAGCATCTTTTGCTATATTTGAAATATTTCTTGATATTCTTTATATCTTTTAATGAAAGAGGTAAGGTACTTAACTGAGTGAGACAGATGTAATGATTGTGATTGCACCCAACTGCATAACAACCCACTGTTTTAAGCGCACACAGTGTTTTCTTTTATTTATTTATTTATTTACTTTTCTGGAGTCAACTTAGATTACCTCCATCTCTTGGGCAGATGTTAGAAACTGTGTAGGAGTAGTGGCTGCAGAAAAATATCAAAGAAGAGAAAATTTGGCTCTGCCATCCTGTGTGGTAATTAGGATTATTAACAAGGAAGGACAGGATCTCACCTCTCGGCCTTGAACCCAAGAGAATTTTTACTTTTATTCAGTAGTTTTTGAATAGAAAATGCATAAACTGCTCTTAACTCTTGGAAACAATGGATCAGATAATTGGTAAAGGATTGTAATTAACATACTTGTTACTGGAAGTGAATAAAAGGAAATTAAAATGTTTCAACCTTTTAACCTAACTCTGAAGATGCTGTTAGTTCTGTGGTAGCACTTGTCTTACCTAAACTTACCCAGGTGCTATATAGATATGTCTGCATTACTGGGGAACCAGTAATTCTACACGGCCTTAATAGTGGCTGGAAAGAAGCAGGTACTTAAGACACAGTTTACTCAACCTAGTCTAGAATGAGATGAATGAAGACTTCACTGTGTTTAATTCCTGCCAGTCACTGCAAAGATAACCCAGGGTGACCAGCCCAGAGGGGTCCCTCTAAGACTAAGCTATCCACCTTTGTCAGGTGATTCCAAGAGGATTCATTCCTTTTCCCTTTTACATCATCCGGAATCCATTTGTAAGTACTAAACAGGAATGCTGCCAGTATTCTTTTCTCACTGAAAACTGCAGATTTATTTTTGAAAATGCCTTTTCCTCCTCTTTCTTATAGCTGCGCTAGTATCACGTGCTGCTTCTCTTTAGAAAAATAGTTGCAGTAGAAGTGGTAGAGTTCTCCTCAGAGGTGGTCCAATCTTTCTTTCACATCTTAAATAATTCCTGTGCAGGTTATTGATCAAAACCTTAAGGAAACATAAAGTATTCCTGTGTGAAGTTGTTTCCTTTCTGCAGTGTAGTTTTTCTATGAAAATTGGCTACTGCTAGACTCTGTGCTAAGCACAAGCCACTCTCAGTTACCCCTCAGAGCATGTTGAATCCTGACACATGTCCACAGCAGGTGGTCATGTGAGGAATTTGGAAATATCAGCGAGGCTGAAATCCTGCTGCAGTGGCTATTCTCATCCAGGTTGATTAGAGACTTGAATAGCTGAGAATAAAATTGTCCAATAACCTGCTGATTATAAGTAACATTTAACCATGTAGCTTATCATGTCTTGATACGGCTATGCTTTTAAAAACCAATGAAAAGGAAGGTTTGTAATTGAAAAAAAAAAACCCCAAAACCTGACACTTTGGGTTTATATCACTATTTTTTGTTAAGGAAAATATCTTATCTGTGCTGGGTGTATTTCTTAAGACTAGACCTCTGAGTTTTATTTCCCAGTTTTGCCTCTGAAACACTTGGAAACTTATTTTTGTCTGAGGGAATATATGAAATGGAATTACTGCTTACATGTTGGATGTGCTATAAGAATAAAATTATGCCTACATTCAGAGAACTGTGTATGTGTGAAATCTTCTACTTCAGTATTAAAATTGTAATAAGAGAAAAGATGCTGGCGTACTTCCATTATACTGGTGCCTAAATGCAGTACTCCTAAAAGGGATTCACTCTGCATAGTGATTTTGCTCCATGGATGTAAAGAGCTAAAACCTGAACATTTCCAGTTGCACTGTGTTTTCAAGAGAATACAGAGAGTGACATAGGCACTTTTCAATGCTGTAATGCACGGTTTAACATAACAAGCAAAATACTGCTATGTGGATGAGGCTAGTAATACTGGAAACTGCTAATTTTAAAATATTTTTATATAATTAATTTCAGACTGTAGAAAAAACACACCATGAAAGTTTTGGCTAAGACATTCATCATACAAAAACAAGCATTTGCAGAGAGCATCTACCCACCCCTCACAGTTACTTTAACAACATTAAAACTAGCAGACAAAACAAAATGCAGTATTTCTTTGCCTAGCTTCTTTGGAGTAAAAGGAAACAACAAAAAAAGACAAAAGCAAACCTACCTCCTCCTTGAAAACCCATTTCCCTGTGGCAGTTACAGTAATAGAGCACAAAAAGGATGGAAGCTGTGAATATGCCTTGGTGGCATATTTTTGTGTGCTTTGACAACGCGATTTCACCATTAAGTTTTCCTGAACCACTCATGTAACAGGGTGTAAAAATCCCGCCTACTTCTTACTCATTTCCTTCACCCTGTACTTCTGTAACGTAATGGCTACAAGTGCAGTTACAGCCATTGTTTTTCTACAGGGAGGTGAATAGGTCAGAATAGGACAACACCCTCTTTATCCCTTCATTCGCATAATTTTCACTCATTTCTGTCACACATCTTTCATATAGGCTTTTGTACAAGGCACAGCCTCAAAGGTAGGTGAATATATGCGTCTACCTTCTGGTTCAGGTATTAGCGCAGGTGCCACTCTTTCAAGCCATGCCACTATTTTCTGCTTATTGCTTAGGGTTACTGCCCTGCACAGGAGAATAAGTCCAGTGCTCTGGACTTTGTAACAGCCATTCCCAGCTTTGCAGTAGCCAGCCTCATTACCTGGAGATGGGTAACAAACCAAAGTCACCAGCTTCCACAACTTCTCCGCTTGACGTGTGCATATTTTTTCTGGGCTGGGAGAATTCAACACACAGACCAGGAAAAGTTTCTTCACACGTGAAAATGCCCCGAGTGTACCAAATCGACACGATGTGACTTGTTTGTGCCAGTGCCCTGGTCACAGGAAGTTTTGCAGTCCCCCTTGCCCTCTGGCTGCAGCGTCTGAACATCCTCTTTCCAACTGCATGTGAATGCACACAGTGTGGTGCAAACACAGTCGGTTGTGCACAGAGATCCACAGCTGCCCATGTTAGCAGGCTCCAAAATGAGTAACCCCAAAGCCTTTTTCACCATCTTGACTGCTTTTGGCGCTGAAGAGTGTGCCTGGGTCCTGAGAGATGTTTGTCCAGCAAAGCAACTTCCTGTGAACTGAGAAACATAGCACCCGCCTTTTTGTGTACCCATAGCACAGTCTGATCACAGATCCCTCTGCCTTTCTCACCTTTAGATCATTTGAACAGGAAAATGAAGCTATTAAAGTAAACAACAGTATTTAAATCTGATTAGTTATAATATTCACTGAGTACCCCAGTCTTACCATACGTATCTGTTATATCTCACCGGAGGAGTGGTAAATCAGATCAGATCTGTCCTGCTTCTGTTTGCCTGTATCTTGTATAGCTTCATTCCCGTTGGCCTTTGGTTTTGTTGCTCTTCTCGGCAGAGGCGGAATTGAGGGGTTTCTTGAGAAGATGTTTCCTCTTCTTCAGGTCTCAGTTCCTCAGTTTTATTCAGAGAGTAGACGAGAGGACACTGGCACATTCCCTGCTAAGACGCTTAATTTCAGGAGCTGCAGAAGTAAGATTTTGTGTTCTCTTTCTCATTTTCTATTGTAGACAATTGTATAAAATTGGAGTGAATTAGGGTTTGGGATAAATTTGCATCAGTGAACCTGAGCCTCATTTTCTATAAGGTATGAACAACCTGCCCAGCTAGATGACAGTAATGCTATGTAGGTTGGATTCTCATATGCACCCACAAGATGCACAGAATGAAACAGGTCTCCTGTGGAAAGGATGTAAGTATGTAATCACACTGACGTCAAAGCTTTTCTGTATGGCAGGAAATGCTAGTTTTTGTGTAGTGGACACAATCTGCAATCCTGTTACTATTATTTTCTAGTTTAATAAATGAGAATTTCTCAGAACATCTAACATTGTTAATGGGATGAATTATCCAAGAAAAAAAAACCTGTAACAGTCCAAAGATTTCTTGGATTTTTTTGGTTATGTTCTTTAGTCCATTGGCAGAACTGCTGCTTTCCAAAGGGTCAGTTAATTCTACACTTGCTTTTAATGAACTATTGACAAAGCATGTTGCCACCATGTCCTTGAACCTCTTAAAGGCAGATTGCCAAGGGAAAAAAAAAAGTAGTTAAATAAATGGAAGGATTTAGAAAGGCCAGAGCAGAAAAGAGACAAAATCCCATTATCTGTACATACAGACTCCCAGACAGTTGGACATTTGATGTGCACTCTCTATATGCCAACCAGGAGGGAAAATATGGGACCTGATCTAGAACCATAGACATCACTAGGTAATCTATCATTGAAAACATGACCATTTCAGGTGAAGACACTCATGACAACAGCAGAGTAGGATCAAGCAGAATACAACTAGGGATGTTTTCTTTGTCAGCAGTGGCAGAAGAAGAACTTGCCCTTGCATTTGGTTCAGACCTTAGTATTTAATTTAGCTCCAAGATGTGGTACCTGGTGTACTTGCACGAGTTGCACTCACTGCATCTTCCCTGAAACAATATATGAATGGTTTGCAATTAATGCCCCAGAATCATGAACTAATTTAGTCTCAGGAAATAAGTGAAACTGTAAAAACAAAAACAAAACAGCTTTCATGATGAGAGTTCTAGCTGAGGTACAAACTGGCACATCTTTTAGACCAACTGGGAGGTCTTACAGAAAACAAGATTTTAAGCAGTTTCTCTTTCACTGTTCTAAAGGTGACCATCAGGTTGTGAAGTGTGCTTTTATATTATTATGTTCAGGTAGAACAAAAGCTAACTGGTGATCTTGGGACTAGTGTGCATTCTCTGTTTGGCCACCATGGAAATCTCATTACTTATGATGTCTTGCAATGACTAGAGAAAATTCAGTCAAACCAACTCTGCCTCTGTAGCACCTGTGGCAAGAGGCCAAGCTGGTACCAGATGAGCTGTAAGACTTTGTAAGAGAAGTACGCTCATGAGAATCTAGCATGCAAGTCACTCATGCTCTGTTTATTGATGAGATAATGAAAAAACCACAAGCATCAATTGGTAGTCTGCTGCTGCAAGGCAAAGATCAATTTTATTACCTATCTCTTTTACCTATCAGCCTTTCTGCATCCTGAGCACGTGTGTGGGAAGGGCATGCTTTGGCAAGTAAATAACTGGAATGGCTTCCCTCAAAAACTCTACAAGGGTCCACAGAACAACAGTCTCAATGGATGCAGCTACTACAGGTATGTTTTATGTTACTGGTGTTCCTCCCACAAGCTGAGGAAAGGCTTAGGATACACTCAGCTGTGATTTACACCTTGAGCTCAGCACACAGAATTGGTTGTGCCTGTCTTTCAGAGAACTTCTGTGAACGCTGGGCTATTTGCTTACTTCAGGGAAGAACTAGTTTTCAAGCTCTATTTAGGCTTGTGATTAATTTCCAAATGAAATGGTGGAAATCTCTTCTTGGCAAACTCTCACGGAGAGAAAAAGTTTTAAAATGTGCTCTTCTACCGCGCATTGATTTTAAAGTTGCCCTGGCCAGGATATTTTCCCTGCAATAAGGAATAGCAAAAAGGTGAAAGTTCACTGTAAAGCTGCAGTTTAAAGGGGCAGCTTGGTTGACAAAACAGATCAAAAGGTTTAGAATGGAAACTGAGAGAAATAAAGGAAACCGCAAATTGTATGATCAGTAGCTACTCTAATGCAGTCACAGAGGAATGAGACTTGACTTAAGTTGTAACTATTTTCCATTTTTGTTTTTTCCTGATTAGCTTTCTGTACAACAAGCAGAAAATGCAGATAGATGGATGGTGTTCATGCACGTATTGTGGTTAACAGTAGCAGAAGTAATGCAGTATGAATGAGGGAAGTCCCTGGACTTTAGTAGAGCTTTTGAAACTGTTTCCCACAGCATTCTCCTGGAGAAACTGGCTGCTAATGGCCTGGACAGGCATACTCTTTGATGGGCAAAAAAGTGGTGGGATGGCCAGCCCCAAAGGGTTGTGATGAATGGAGTTAAATCCAGTTGGTGGCTGGTCACAAGTGGTGTCATCCAGGGCTCAATGTTGGGACCAGTTCTGTTTAACATCGTTATCAACAACCTGGGCAAGGAGACTGAGTGCACCCTCAGCAAGTTTGCAGGTGACACTAAGCTGGGTGGAAGTGTTGATCTGCTTGAGGGTAGGAAGGCTCTACAGAGGGACCTTGACAAGCTGGATCAGTGAGCTGCAGCCAATTGTATGAGGTTCAACAGGGCCAAGTGCCGGGTCCTGCACTTGGGTCACAACACTCCCATGCAACGCTACAGGCTTGGGGAAGAGTGGCTGGAAAGCTGTTTGGCAGAGAGGGATCTGGGGGTACTGGTTGAAAGCTGGCTGAATATGAGCCAGCAGTGTGCCCAGGTGTCCAAGAAGGCCAACAGCATCCTGGCTTGTATCAGAAATAGTGTGACCATCAGGATTAGGGAAGTCATCCTTTCCCTGTACTCAGCATTGGTGAGGCCACATGTCAAATACTGTGTTCTATTTTGGGCCACTCACTACAAGAAGGACATTGAGGCCCTGGAGCGTGTCCAGAGAAGGGCAATGAACCTGGAGCACAAGTCTTGTGAGGAGCAGCTGAGGGAACTGAGGTTGTTTAGCCTGGAGAAGAGAAGGCTGAGGGGAGACCTTATCACCCTCTACAACTGCCTGGAAGGAGGTTGTAGCAAGGCGGGTGTTGGTCTCTTCTCCCAAGTAACTAGCAATACGAGGAGAGGAAATGACCTCAGGCTGCATCAGGGGAGGTTTCAATCAGATATTGGGAAAATTTCTCCACTGAAAGAGTCAGTGAAACATTGGAACAGGCTGCCCAGAGAAGTGGTGGAGTCACCATCCCTGGAGGTGTTCAAAAAATGTGTAGATGTGGGACTTCAGGACATGGTTTAGTAGGCATGGTGGTGTTGGTTGGTGGTTGGACTTGATGACCTTGGAGGTCTTTTCCAACTTTAATGCTTGTCAGGAAGTCCACAATTATGTCAAAAGTTTGTTTTGACAAATTACATTATGGAAAAGTCTGGGAGGTTGAGAGACCTTGTGCCTTATGCATTTATTCAGTACAATTATTGTCTTCATAAAACAGGAAATGGGAGAGAAGAAAAGCTTAGTTGTTCTGATTGCTGTTCTGTAGAGGAAATGAAAGAGTCTTGTTAAAGGATAAAAATAGCACTGAGACTTTTGTGTCTACTCAGCTTCTGTAATTCTTGAAACTGGACCCTGCAGGTTCTCAGAACAGAATTATTCTTGGAACCCTGAATCCAAGTACTGGAGAAGCTGGGTCATGATGTAACTGTTACAGTGCATTAGGTTACAGGAAACTGGGCTGATACAAAAACCTTAATTTATTGTAAAGTGAATTTCCTTAATTATGAAGTTTTTTTATAGAGATTGGAAAAGTTACAACTTTAGTATTTATACAGAATAAACTATATGCTAACAATTCCAGTATAGGCAATTTAACCATATGAAATGCATGACTTCATGAAAATTCCCAAAATGCCCAAGATCACCTCTGCAGAGGATTTTGGGTACTACATATGCATCCCAGTCTTGTCATTCAGAGTCTCATAATCATTGTTTGACGTAGACATGGATGTTTTCACCAAACCAGTCAACTTGAACATGAAGTTGCCCTTAGCTGCTGTGCAGTCTGAAGGATGATTTGGCTTGCTTAATGAAAGGGAATGGAGTTGCATGCCAGAGTAGTCTGAAAGCATCCTTTACTAGACCAGCACATGTACCACAGACTTTTTGGGTTAATCTGTATTTTTCTTAAAACCAAACTGATTGTACAATCTTTATATAACTGGCTTTGTCATCTTTAATTTAAATCATAAAAATTCAAATGTTTGCATTTAGTCTTCTTTGCAGCTAATGCTAAGAAAGAACATTGCTGTTATAGTCAAGAAGAAGTTGATAATCAAAAGAGAATCTTTCATTTGTTTTTATTTTAGTTTGTCTGGCTTAATCTATTTTAAATTTATCACCTTTTATGTGAAGTATCAGAAGAAGAAAGCAAGTGATATTAGCAACTTGGATATGATTTAGGACTGATTTTTTCTTTTTGTCTTTTTTTTTTCTTTAATTCCACCAAGAAATATACACAAATATAACATTGCAGAGCTCCAGACTCCTAGCATATCTTGGTATGGAGTTATCCAGTAGGTACACTAGATAGCCCTGTCATGGATATTATAATACTTGGAAGCTAAAATATACCTCAGCTCCTCACTATGTGGTGATGACTGGAACCGATGTTTGTTTTGATTTTAATTTACAAGAAGAAATAATTTTTCACCCTCTTTACTTTCGTGCTTTAGCTTGCTTTTCTCTGATCCTAGGCTACCATCATGTGGCCACTTTGAGAATCTTCCCAAGTAACAGAAACAAAGACTGATTACTTAGCCTAGAAAGCAGCAAGGTCCTGCCTGTGTACAAGATGAAGGCCACATGT